CAATTTTGAAAACAGCCTCATGTTCCATCAGAGGAGATGATCATTCAAAATATTTCAAGTTGTGCAGAAATGGACAAATTGACATTAAAAAATAAAGATACTTCAATATACTACAACAGCTGGAACTGCTGGTACAAATGGATAGACCAAAGATAGACTTCACACTAAAAGGCAAAAGAGGATAGGATAAATCCATAGTAGTGATACACAGATATATGTAAGGTTTAGGTGTGTGTATATGGCATAAAATAAGGATAAAAAAGAAGTCTTACAAGCTGTTGAAGATGAGAAAGTTTTTAATTGTTTTCTATTTTTTTCTTTCTATTTTCTTCTCCCTTCTTTTTCTCTTTTTCATTTATGTATGTGTTGTTGGTTTGTTTTAATTGTAAAATCAATAAAATTTATTTTTAAAAAAGAATCCAATTATAGGACTATTTATATTTTTAAAACAATTCTGGCAGCTAATTAAATTAAGACAGAAATAAGATTCAATTGACAGCAAGAACATAAAACATTAATAAACTGTAAAAACTAAATAGCTGCATTTGAAATGTTTCCAAACAGAGAATATCTAGGAGAAGCTTGAAAAGAAATGATGGCAAATTGTACAAACTATGAAACAATGTTTAGCTGTAATCATTGAAGTAGAATCAGATTAGTTTGATAGTAACCAGCAACTTGAGATGGAAGGAATCAGAGCAACCATAATATTTGGGGATGAGTGAAAATAGTATTTTGTGGTGTCTATGGAGATTCTCAGTCATGGTTATCCCAAAGATGCTTTTTCAAGAAGCAACTGGAGTTTCTTTATTTTTCCTTGAAGACGTTTCTCTTCTCATCCAAGAAGATTCTTGGATCAGAAGCAAAGTGTCTTCAAGGAAAAACAAATAAATTCCAGTTGCCTCTTGAAATAATTCCTTTTGGACAGTAATTCTTGATGAATGTCATGACAGAAGAAGCAATACAATATGCTTCTCCATTGCAAGGGCACAATCTCCATTCGAAAGGGATGTTTCAGGATTTCATTTTTTTCCCCAGGATTTATTGTGAGAGCATTGAATCCAGCCAAGGACAATTTTTTTTTCTGAATTTGGGGGTCATTATGCAACTATGATATCTGGCTGGGGGAAGTAAATGTGCAGTGTCTCAGAAAAATGTTTCCAGGTAAGACTGATTGTGGCTTTGAGTCTACCTATGGCATGTTGTTTAAGATCAGCTATCACAGATTCATAGCCCAGCAGGGTAATGACTGCCCCTGAGAAACTATTAGATTTGAAATTTTCATATATTTTCCTACACCAGAGAGATTGGAAATTGTCAGTCATAATTAAAGGGGCCAAATCAGCTGATAAAAGAAGAAGCTTAGGTTAACATGAAATCCAGGCATCCAAGTGGAAGTTTCTATTTGGGCTAGGCCAACTTCCTGGCAATGTACAACATTTGGAATGCAGCAGGATACTGGGAAGATAGATCTCAAATAGTTAGACTGAACTCTTTCAAGGGAAAGAAATGACCTGTAAGGCCCCAACTGGTCTCCAAAGGGAAGTTTCTTGTTGAGAAGACTTCAAGCATTATGCGTACATTCTGAACTCCATTAAAGAAGTAGATAGAAAGATTGTAGAACTACAGTTGTTTTCTGTACGTAGATATTCAAAGGTCTTAACTTGTTTGATTGGTTGTTTGGCCACTAGGTGTGTGCCCTAAGGCTAGGCTATAGAGTCTCAAGTGAAATTACTACTAATAAAGGAGGATATTCGTAGCTCAGGGTTGAAATCAGGAGCCCCCGATTATTATTTATTTTCTTGAAGACATTTCATTACCAAACTAGGTAACATCATCAGTTACTACTGTATATGAGAGTTACCTCTAATAGAAGTTGTCTTTGCCTGAAAGAGTTTTTAAATACAACTGTCATCCTCATGATTAGGTCTTGAGCAGAGCACATTTTCCAGCAATTTTGACTGTTCGCAGCATCTTTGGCATCGTCCCCTAAGGGAAATTAATAATCTTAAGAACTTCCTTAAGTGTTTGATGCCAAATTTTCTGAGGCCAGCCTTGTTTTCTCTTTCCTCCAAGAGATATCCATTATAGTACAATTTTTGGATGCCGGTCTTTAGGCATACATAACAAGCTGAATTTGATGTTCATCCACAATTCTCGATAGGTGTTCTAAATTTGATTTTCCTAGTACCTTTAATTAGCACTGTGGTCACGATATGAGATGCAACCACAAAGGGTCTAAATACAACCATAAAGGGTTTATTTAAAGGTGTTCACGAGCTCAAATGTTCATACAATAATGTTGTCTTTTAGGTGTTCTGAGTTTTTTTTAATAACAAATTATCAGTTGTTCATCTTGGCACTGTTGAATCAGATTACTAATGGTTCTCTAGAGCCTGCCATGTCAGAGATAGAATAATGACATTATCTCCAGATAGAATAAGTGGGAAATGCTTGTTTGGCAATTTAGAGCCATGGATGTGCATGGTTTTTAATTGATGGATTAAATAATTAATAGATGTGGAACAGAGTTGAGGGTACTATGCAGTCCAGTGGGACATGTCTAAAGGAAAGGAGATCTACTTGATGGTATCTCCCCTGTAGGAATGATCTGTCATGCAGTTTAGCTACTATATGAGCAAGAGTTTATCAATCATTGAGTTACTCAACTTGGGCCGTAGTAAATTGTAATACTGAATGAATAGCTGCCTTGAAATCAATAAAATCAGTGATCAGCAGTGAATCAGCCTGGTCTAAAACAAAGCTTGTGCTTCCTCTGGGATGAATCTTTGTATCAAAAAAGGAACGCTTAAAATGCTCACAACTTAAAATATGGGTTTTTTAAACTATTTTTTAAAATTTTGAACCAATTCCAGTAATAATGGTGAAAAAGAAAGCAATACATTTAATTTAATTAATTAAAAGAAGAAAAGTAAAATATTAGGGGGACAATTGAAAAGGAAAGAAATTGTATTAAAACATTTTAAAAGGGAACAGCCTATCATCTAAGGTTAATGTTTTTTTTTTTAAAAAAATTAGTTTTTACAGTATCAGAGTAGTAATGTATCCTGTAAATCATTGCAGTATAATTTTTAAATCACCAGTTAAATCTAGACCTTATGACTACAGTCCATTATTCAAGCTGTAGTGTAATCTCACCATTCTAAGAATATGAGATCACCTTTTTAAAAGTTCCAGGTTCAGTATATCCCGAGCTCCTTATAACTAGGCAAATTCCAGATCTTTAGAATATAATTAATGTATTTATTACATTGAACCTTAATTTGTTGGGAGATTGACAACAGGCTACATTTGGGGAAAGAAGGGTTGATATCTCCAACCAACTGTGGCTCTTAGCTCCTATTGTTTATGGCTTCCTCTGCTTCACAGTGACATCCTTGCAAGGACTGTTTAACTTAGGGCTGGGGTGGAATTTCCAGGACCGCTAGTGTTAGGAGAATTCAACTTGCTTTCCCTTGGGGCTGGGGTTGCAGCTGCCCGGAAGTACATGGTTGCTATAACAACAGTGGTCCTATCCAAAGAAGGCCACATGTTGATCTGTTTTTTTTGTTTCAGAGCAAACAAAATGTATTGTAATTGAAAATGGGAGAGATTTTGTTTCTTCTCATAAACAGATCGATCATAGTTATTTTTGGAGTGACACTGGATACTTTAGTTCCCAGAACCAAGTCATAGAAAGATTGGCTGGCTCTTTAATTGATATGTGTATAAAAATATTCACAGCTCACCCTTGAGCATAAATTGACAACCAACACTTGGATACTTTTAATGAAACTGTAAGTAAAGTATGCTAGATTGCATTTCTTCCAAGAGCTTCAAGTGATATACGTAGTTCTCCCTCTTCCAATTTTCCCTTCCCAAGAGACAGAGATTGATTGGCCTCTGGTCCTCTTCTAATGAACTTCCATAGCTCAGGTGAATTTGAACCTAGAACTTTCTTGGTCTTGATCCAATACCTTTATGGCCTGTAAAGTAGCCTTCCCCAGTTGCGGCCTGCCAGATGTCCTGAAACTGGGATCTATAGATCTAGGAGGTTAGGGAAAAGTGTCTTGGGGCCTGTTCCATTGAATAGAGATCCTGTATTCCACCAATACCCAAGGGACACAAAGACCCCTTTATATGTGAAGAAATTTGGCAGATCCCACATGACAGTAGTTCTATGTTGACAAAATATAATGTGACAAAAAGCTAATAGTCATGAGTTATGTGTTTAAATGGGTTTGTATTTTATTAATCATAACTGCATACATGTGCAGCTTAAAAAACTAGGATTAGATATATATTTACTGAAATGCTTTACTGAAAAACATTTGGGGAGGAAACTCTCTGACAATCTGGATGGTGTTAAGCTTTTCCTTCTGTTCAATTTCTGTTCAAATAAGCCACACCCTTAATTTTAAAAAATGTAAAAGAATTGAAAACTAGAAAGATTTATTTTATGACCTGATCCTCTTTCCCAAGGTGTGTAGGTTTTTGTTTGGTTGAGAAATCGTTTCTGTGCATACTTTGTAATAGTTGTAATAGGTCCACTGTCACCCTCATCCTGTAGTCCAGAGAGTTAGTGTGGTTTTAAGGCACCAGACTAAGAACCAGGAGACTGTGTGTTGTAGTTTCATTTTAAGCATAAAAGTCTGCTGGGTGACCTTGGACCAGTCAATCTCTCTCAGCCCAACCTACATCCCATGGCTTTTGTCGTGGGGGAAATAGGAGGAGGAAGGAGAATTGGGTAAGTTTGTCACCTTGAGTTACTTATAAAACAAGAGTGGGAATGAATGAATGAATGAATGAATGAATGAATGAATGAAACCACTGCTGTCCTAATGTCTTGCTATGTTATATTTTCCATTTGTGAGCTCTCCTGCATAAGAATGCTTGCTCCTTGCTTAAAGAAGGCTTTTGACACAGGAAGATGGAGTGCCTTAAGCTTTTTCTTGCTTTATCAAAACTTTAACTTCTTTATTTTATTGTTACCTTTTTAGTGTTCCAGAAGAAAGTCCTGGAAAAACTCTTCCCTGCTCCTGATGTAGTTTCTTCAAGCGTAGAAAGCACTGCTGTTTTGAAAGGTGCAGTTGCAACTCAGGAAGAGTCAACGAATGTGGCAGCTTTGGAAAAAGATTCCAGGGTCCAAGGTAATGTTTGCATGTGTGCATTGGCGTGCGGGTGTACATGTACATGATAATTAAACAAGAATTACCTGTAATACCCAGCCAGTTCCATTTCGCTTTGCTATGATATTCAAACCCAGCCAACCAATGTCAGCAAGTTTGACTTGATGTAACAGTATTTGGATCTGTGAAAGGTATAGGTCACTCCAATCTGTTTTGACTCTGGGGATGCTGGCAGCTTCTCTGCTGGGCTGCTGGCTCTCAACCTCAGATGTTCTGCCAGCCAAACCATAGCACATCTGTCCACTCTTCCACACTTTTGGCACTATTTTTACACACACATTCAGTAGTCTGGATTTCAGGACATATATCAAGCCCTAAAGGGAAGAGACAGGAAGATGTACCAGTATTTGCTGATAAGAGAGAACTAGGATTAAATAATCCTGGCAATAAGTAGCCAAGGACGGGGTGGGACATGTCTGTAGTAGCCTTAGCTTGCATCTCACAGCTGGGCCAGCATTTTCCTCTAAACTTACTCCAGATTGAACTGCAGACTGATCACTTGGCACAGTTTGTGCTGGCAAAAACAGGAAAGGCACTTCAGAAGTGGAGCAGATAAAGGCACCATCCTGGTGGTCCAGAGTCACACTAAGAACATCATGCATTCATGTCCTTAACAAATAGTTAGTGGGCCATCTATGACACAGCAAGCAGGGTGTCTGAATAAACCCTGCATCTTTATAATCCAAAAAGGAGTTTGGATGAATTAAAAATGGTATATTTGGTGTTTACTTGCTTCTTCAAGACCATTTTTACTAAAGCTCTTGACTTCAGTGTGAGGACCGTGGTTGATTATTTTTGCCTTTTAGGTTGGATTTAGAGTATTGAATTGCTATATTACAAGTCACAGTTTTAAAACAGTAATAGTACTTCAAAGGAACAACAGCTACCAACAACCAGCATTTGTTAACATAAAATATTAGCAGGGCAAAAATTAACTTCAGAAACTAAAAATGAATCATAAGTATTCAGTTAGCAGGTGCAAAACAAAAGGCACCTTTGATAATTTGCCACTAAAACAGCAACACACTTGTGAATAGTAAACTATCACCTTTGAAATACTGACAGGTGGATGCTTGGGAATTACTCTTTAGTATTCAGCTGAAAAGAAGATTGGATGCAGATTGTTAAATTTATTTCACATTAAAAACAACCATGCACTGAATTGTGATTTTTCCCAGAACATACTCCTTAAAAAAATCCCTTCACTTGTGAGAATAATGCATTCTTTTGCTCTGAAATATTGTCTGGTATTTTCAAATTGGACACAGTGCTTGATATTACAACCTGAGAGCTGTGGTGGTGTAATGGTCAGAATACAGTATTGCAGATTACTTCTGCTGACTGCCGATTGCCTGCAGTTTGGCAGTTCAATTCTCACCAGCTCAAGGTTGACTCAGCCTTCCATTTTTCCAAGGTTGGTAAAATGAGGATGTAGATTGTTGGCAAGAGGCTGACTCTGTAACAGCTTAGAGAAAGCTATAAAGCATTGTGAAGTGGTATATAAGTCTTAGTGATATTGCTATGATGCAATCAAGCATTCTAATCAAGTTGACTCAAATTTATATGAATGGTGTCCACATCCTATGTAAGTAGTCCTTGTTTAGTGACTGTTTGCAGTTATCGTACCAGGTACCATTCACAGTTATGAAAAACTAATTTTTTGATTACATTTATAACCTTCATAGGTCTGTAAAGCAAAAAAAGCTGAAGTATGAATATAAGCAGAGATCGTTTCACATAGCAACCTCTTTGCTTAATGACCAACTTGCAATCCCAGTTGTAGTTGCTAAATGAAGACTACCTATATACTCCAGAAAGTATTTTCAAAAGAGAAAATCGCACAATTCTTGACATGGACCCAAAGAATAAACAACAGGAATGTTATTTTATGCTACATGGCCCTCCTAAGTAATAAAAATGCTTTTAAAAAATCGTAGTTGGACTATTTTGCATGCATGCATATATATATATATATATATATATCATTTGATATTAGTGGGCCATGTCTCTTTGGATTTAAAGTTCACTGCTATCCCACAAAAGATGCATTTAGTTTAAGGAGTTGCAGGTGTTTCTCTGTGTGTTCCAAAATATGTTTTTGCCTTAAATAGAAGATGAAGCGTTTCATTGCCCTGCTTGATTTCTCAGTCTAATACAGCTTTCTTCAACTTCAGAATGCGTTCAGCTACACCGCCTTTGGAATCTGAGGATTTCTAACTCCAAATAGAATTAATTTCATTGGGAATGGTTGATACAAATCAACCATTCACATCAATCAATTTCATTGATTTAAAGAGGCTGCTGTATGTTTAATTCATTGGTTATTATTTTATCCCCAAGCTGATCAGTCTTGATCAAGTTCTTTAATTCTTTTTAACCATAAAAGCTTGAATTTTGTCAGAATCCTGATGACTTTATGGATATATCTGTGATTTTTTTTTTGACACTATCAAAGTAAGTAGGATCTTCTTTAAGTTATATAAAATGAAGTCTTTCCTTGACTTCTAAAGCTGCAGGGCCTACAGCAAACAGTTCATTGAAAAGCAGAATTTAAGTGGATTGGAGAGCAAAGGAATGAATAGCTTGTAGCCCTACAATTATATAATCATTACTTCAGGAATGGGTTTGAGAACACTGTTGGGAGCCAGTAATCATGCATAGTCATCATAGAAAAGGAGCATATTTGCTGTTAAATGTGAGATGTGCCCCACACGAATAGATAGAAGAATCATAATATATTACTAGCTAATAATTCAGAATTATTGAGAAAGAGTAGTATCTTCTTTTTACATTCCTTACATTGATAATATTTCTTTAGAGTGGCAAATATATTGCTAGAATCAATAATCTGGGGTTGCAATAAACTCCTGTTCATTTTAAATGTGATATTTTAAATGTAATGTGAGTTCTTTCTAAATTCCTTTGCTGCACTTGTGTTGATTTACAAGAACAGATGTGTTTCTCTGCCAGTTCCAGAATGCTAGCAGCTTAAAGCATGCTTTGCACAGGCAGCCTTAACAAAATGTTGCTTGTCTTGTACTAAAAATGTCTGTGATTTGGAGGACTGAGGACTGGAGATAGACTGGCAAGCAAAGCAAATATTGTCTATACATATTCATGAGAGACTCTTTGGCAGTGCAATATTGGAATAAACAACTTCTGCAGACTGATTAAACAATTCATTTTAGCAGTTAATTACTGTTGCAAGAAGGAGCAACAGACTGTAATAATTACTTTGCACAATAGAATATGACATTTTAAATGCCTTTCCATCAAGAATTTGTCTTCTGTTGGGTGATTATGTTAACATGACATAACTATCAATATGGCTGCTGATTATTCATAATCTTTTAAAGCCATAATTTTATGATTTAGATCAATGAACTGCTGCTTTTAACTCTCAATTTCTGGTGCATAGATCTTCCGAAGCATTGTCAGATAATAATCCTGGCAAAATTCCTTGAATCAGTAAAGGATGGTGGAGTTAAGTTATTTCTGGTCCATGAAGCTGCACGGCAGCTGCATCACTACCCACTTCAAACCCCTCCGAGCCATACATGAAGCAAACCGACACCCACTATGAAGATGCAGAAGGACCACGAACTCGAAGCCAAACAGCAAGATCACAACTCACCAGCTCAAATCCCCCAGCAACTAAGACTAACCTGAGCACAACCAAGCCCCCACCTGAACAGAACACGCCTCCAACCAATCAGAACACGGCTAACCCCCCAACCAATCAGAACACAGCCAAACCCCCTACCAATGAGAACACACCCCCACCCAATCAGAACACAGCCAAGCCCCCCACCCAATCAAGTCCCACCCCCACTGGCAGTTAAAAGGAGGAAGCAGCTGCAATCTCACATTACTCTGAGAAGCACAGAGCCGGAGACAGAAGCCTGAAGATGATGAATGAGACTTCATCGAAACGTTGCCTAGATACTTCGAATCTTACGCGGGAGAAAACCCGAACAACCAAAGATCCATATATATATATATATATATATATATATATATATATATATATATATATGGTATTCAGCTTTGTTCGGGCATTTTCCCATGTCATTATAGTTGTGCTTTTAAAGTTGGAGCAACGTTTCGGCAGAATCTCATCTGCCATCATCAGGCTTCTGTATTGTGTTCGTCTGTGAGTCAGACTTTTACAGCCGTTTCTGTTTTAAATTTGGTGCTAGCCTACTGCTTTGCCAGGATGGTTTTTTCTTCATCCTGATTTATTGGGAGTCTTGGTCTGTGTTTATTGGTCTTGGAGTTTGTTGTGTTCTGCTTGATTGGTGTTCCTAATATCTTCTGTCTGTTTTGTAGCTTTTTTTTTCTTGATTGGCTGGCAGCATTGTGTTTCCTGTGTTGGAGGCTTTTAGTGCAGCTTGGCTCCAAGTAAACGGACAGCTATCATTTATTAGGAAGCTAGGTTTCATCTCGGTGCCTGGTTGGGGTGTGTTTGAGCTGGAGGTATCAGGGGGGGTCTGTTTGTACCCAGGTGTTTGCCTGGCTTGTGGTGTGGAGATTTTTTTTGTTTGAGAGTGCAGGCTTCCAGATAATTGACAGTCTGGTGGAGTCATCTGTTCTATTTTTTATCAAATTTATTTGCTTCCCATCTCATGGTTCAGGCAACTCTTATTACAGCTCTGACAAGCACCAATCTATACCATCATCATATGAAGACAAAATCTAGTTGCTGGCAACAAATGGCAAATGGGAAGATATGTGAGGAGTCCTTGGTGCGCTCTGAGCTTGGTTGTCTTCTTGCAGACATTTTATTACCAAACTAAGTAACATCATCATGCTGGGATGGAGTGGTGTTTGCTCTCACTTTATATTCTAGTGGCTTGCCCTGTCAGTGTTGATGAGAAGTGGCCATGGAGATTATTCAGTTGGGCTGTTTACTCCTAGCTTCTTTGGCAACTCCTTGATTGTGGTATTATTTACTTCGTGAT